CACTGTAGTGTCAGACAACCCTCTGAAATGTGGTTTAGTGTACTAGAGTGTGAAGGATGGGTTACACACACTCCACTTTGCATTTAGGCCTATGACCTTTCATTGCAGAAGGCTGTAGTAGCACATTTTCAGTCTTATCCTAAATGCACTGTTTTTTTATATATTCCTTACACTTATACATATGCAGTCCCATAGCTTGTAGATTGTTACCTCAAATCATTTGAGTTTGTTTTTTGTGTAGGAAATGTGACCATAAACTCCATCTTGCAAATGCTGCAAGATGGACTGCATCTTTTTTATATACAGTGTTTTTTGTCTTCAGTCTCACCATCTCACATCAGTTTTGATACAACAGTTCAAAATGCTGCTTAATAGTGATAATAAAAGCAGTATTTTTGTTTCATTGCAGTTTGTGAGGTTTGCTAACATTGAAGAAGATACTCCATCCTATCACCGGCGTTATGATTTCTTTGTATCCAAATTCTCTTCTATGTGTCACAGTAATCATAATGAACCTGAACTTCGAGACAAAATTAGGGTTGCAGGCATCAAAGGTTTACAGGTTAGCAATTTGTGTTTTTCATGTAAGTATATAAAACTTGTGTTCTATATAAATGTGGCTTAAATTTATGGATTTGTGACATTTATGTATAGTGTGTGTGAGCTTAAGGTGTCCACAAGCAAACATGTCCACAGTGACGTAGTGGGCTGTTATGAAAATTAATATTTCTTAATAGCAGCTCTTCATGATACATAAAATCTTTGTTCTATACACAGATATTAATGAAATGTAACATTTGGACTTCTTTATAAAACCCAGAACAATATTTTTAACTGTAATTTGTCACTCAAGGCTCCTGAGTTCAAAATCAAAATTAATTTTTAAAGATACCTTAATCAGTATTCATCAGAACTGAAAATTGCTTACACTGTATTTGTGTTACTATGTCAGACAGAAAGTTTATGCTGTGTATGAAGATTTATGAATTCTGAAATAGGATGTTTTGTAGATGGTTCCTTGAAATGCCTCTTAAAAGTGTTTTACTGAAGTTCTGATATAAAGTAAAATGAACTTCATGTCATAGGGTGTGGTCAGGAAGACCGTATGTGACGATCTAGTTGAGAACATCTGGGAAGCAGTTCATATGGACAAAATAGTTCCATCTCTTCTTTACAACATGCAGAATTCAAGGTGAAGATTATTCTTATCTAATGTAGGAATTTTACAGTGTCGCGTGTTCTTTGTGTTCGTGCTTCGGCTATTCTTTTCAACATAATAAACTTTTAAAGTGCACATTTAAGAAATAATTATAGTATTTATGCAGAGGCAATAAAAAGTGTATTAGCAGTCAACAAATATAAAATCATACATTAAATTTTCTTACATGAGGCAAATTTCAGAATAATATGTTGAAAGTTTTCTGTATCAGTTGTAGACAATTTATATTATTTGGCTCATCATCTCTTTAAACCTTGGGGTAGGTTATTGTACTAGATGGAGATCACTGAACAAAAGTCTCTTACTTAGTGAATGCAATAGAAGCTATACCTACTCTCTCTCTCCAACCACCCACATGGCATATAGCTGGACAGCTTTATTTTACTTAGTGTCATCTAGATCAAACTTTAATAGTACGTATGCTTGCATATTCCATGTATTCACTCCTGGCCTGTATCATATGTTTTTAGGTATCATGTGAAGGAAGCTGATACTCCGGAACCTCCACAAGAGGAGCACGCTGACCCTCCTACTTTAGCTGAAACCTGTATGAGAGAGTTAGTGGGAAGAGCATCGTTTGGACATATTCGTTGTGTCCTGAGACCAGTACTCAGGTGTGTTATAATAAGTAAATGATAAATTTAACAAGAGAAGAATTTCTGTGCATAGATCACATATATTTTCAGTCCAAAAAATCAATATGCTGTACAGTTGAGAATGATGTGCTGTAAATATCTGGTGCATTTTCAATTAACTTTAACAAACATCGACCAGACTACACAGCGCAACAACCCAGAAGACAGAAATCTTCATACACCTGTTCCTTGATTAATGAGTGTTTTCAACACATGGGCCACATGCTGCCAACTAATGTGTTTTATGAGCATCGTTGCAGCTGTTGAAGATGGAGGTTCTTATTCCAGCTCCCGCCGACTGTGAAGTGCGGTCAGTGATAACGCTCGGCCGCACACGGCTCGACGGACAGCAAGTCTCCTGCAGGAGTTCAGCTGGGAGGTGTTTGATCATTCACCCTACAGCCCGGACCTCGTTCCCAGTGATTTCCATCTTTTCCTACACTTCAAGAAATTCCTGTCCGGTCAGCGTCAGCGTTTTGAGAATGACAGAGAGGCGGAGATGGTTGTCACACAGTGGTTCCAATCCCAGGCGGCAGACTTCTACGACCCAGGTATTCAAAAGTTGGTCCCACGGTATGACAAATGTCTCAATTCCGGTGGCGAATATGTTGAAAAATAGCTGGACACTTGCTGTATCTGTTGCAATAAATATTTCCATGAAATTGTGTTTTGTTTCTGTAAACGGCCCCAGGGAAACTTACTTTGTAGACCAGCCTCGTATATAGTTTTGTAATATTGATTGCTCTGTATAATGAAAACATGGATGCCAGCTAAATTAAACATTTATTCTAGTGTTAAGCCTTATTCTTAAAAATAGCAAATAAACAAATTTGTTTATGGAAATTATGCCATCATGAAATTCCTGTAAATGTTCTTATTTATAATCCAGCAATCCTGAGTGTGGTCCAAGGCATTAATGGCTGAGACCCTCTGGAGTTTGTTATGCATTGCATGTCCTTAAAAGGTTAATATTAAAAAATTAACTTTTCACTTTTGTTTCAGACATTTAGATCTCCACGAGCTTTGGGTTCCAAATCAATTTGCACTTCATACCTTCAGGATTATCATGTTTTCAATTCAGGTAAGTAATTTCGGGGGGTGGGGGGTGGGGGGTCTGCATAATTGTAAGAGGAGCTCACAAACTAACCAACTAGCTTTATTAAGCTCTGTGTACCTTCTTTTGAATATGCCTTTTGCTCAATTAGAAACTCTCGACCTATGAACCCCAAAGGTTCATTACTGTAATCACTGAAGGACTTGGAAAAAATATGACCGCTGCTATTTGTTCACTACAGATCCAACATGAATTGCCCTGGGGAAAGACCTGGCCCTCTGTTATGAGAAGCTGGAACTAACTGCCTGTGCAGTGGTGCAACCACCATATTTGCATAAGATCCATTTTAATGTTATTTTTGCCTTCTATACTTAGGTCTTCCAAGTTGTATTTTCTTTTCAGAATTTTTAGCCAAAGTTTTTTGTGCATTTCTCATCTAGGACATTTTATTATGAATGTAAATCTTTGATTTCTGCAATTGTAATAGGAAAGAAAGTGAGTTTTTAGGCTTTTGCATGAGTATTTTAGCATAGCATTGTAACATGTGTGGCTTGCATTTGAGAATTATTTGATATGAATCCTTGCCAGAAACTGGTTATTCTGATGGATGTTTCCTCTGTCCTAAATATATAATACAAAAGTATAAAAGCAACATGGCTAGGTAGATAATAAAGTTAGATAGTGTTTTGTTATCAGCTCAGCTGCACTAGTTATTGTGACTATCAACATTTAGTAAAGAATCAGACTGAAATGTAAAATAAATATTGTATAAATTTTATTTAAAATGTGTTATTAGGAATTATAATAAACTTTTATTTCAATTAATTTCAGGCACAGTATTCCTACACTGTGATAGAAACATTGATGTCACATTTGGATGACAACTCAAAGTCAAACCCCAAGATTCGAACTAGTATAGCAGATGTATTGTCCAAAATAATTTCAATTGCTGCGGGTGAAAGTGTTGGTAAGATTATAATTTTAATAAATTTGCTGTGAAGGATTTAGAACATATACGTCACATTATCCCTAAATGACAACTGTCAATAAATAGTTTTATGTATATATTTTTTAAAAGAAACACATTATTTTACCAGTATTTATCTCTTAAATTTTACATGGATATCATATTTACTTTACTATAACAGGCTTGTTAATAATAAATCATATTCATATTAATTGCTCTTGTTAATGCATGCTTCAGTATGAAAAACCTCACAAATAATTGGACTTTCTGTAAAAAAGCATTATAAAAAGAATAATGTTACCAAAATGTTTATGAAATAGAATGTTAACAAACTTCAATGAGTGTGGTTATCTGTTGAGTTTACGTACATTGCATCTGCTGTGCCTGGAAACACTGCTAGAAGTCACTGTTTGAAAGTCCTTTCAGTACTGTCACCAGATTGCTCTTATGTTTTGAAGTGTAAAATTTTATATTTTTTCAAGGATATTTTTAGTGTCAGAAACATGAGAAAGATACTGACACCAAACTGGGTTAGCACAGTGAATGTTTTAAAACTGGAATTTGTGTCTTGTCTGATACTTGCTTTGACAAACTGTTTTGTATGAAGATGCACTACATTGTGCAGAATCTGTTTCTGCTGTGAAGATTTGTTATTTTTCTATGATTGCAGTGATATAAGCATTTCAGTCATTGAAGGTAGAAAGTGTGGATGATTGTTACGGAGGAACAAATTTATATTGGATTATTCACTTGATATCAAAAGAGCATGCTGTCATATTTATAAACTGTGATTTTGACATTTATGATTTCTTATATTTATATTTAATTATTCTATTTGCCCACCACAGTTTTGAACTGTGTGCTTATTGATTGTAGGTCCATCAGTGCTGGAGATTATCAATTCTTTACTGAGTCATTTACGATTGTCAGTTACTCGTGAGGACCCTTCTGATGAACCTCAGGCTCAGCGTGCTGAAAAATTATACCAAGAAGCACTCATTAATGCACTGGGAGAATTTGCAAACCACTTGCCAGACTACCAGAAGATAGAGATTATGATGTTCATCATGAGTAAAGTTCCTTACCCTGCACTTGATCATCTCCGAGGATTTAATGGCCCTGGAGATGTGCTATTGCAGAATATTCTGCTCAAGTCATTACTAAAGGTACTTATACATTTTCTTATGTATGTCTGAGATTAAGGACAAAATTGTTTGTCTCTGAATTAGGATGATGCTAAAAGGAGGTGAATAGTTGTTGGTATACTAGTAATAATCTGGAGGGTATGGTTTCTGTTCAACTACACAAATTTTTTTAGGTCGATATAGTGAAACAGTTGAAGCTATGATTTTAATACTGCATTTATCAGTATCAGTAAATGTAATTTTAACCTTTCACAGCATAATTGTCGTTCGTTCAAAGTACATGTCTTACCCTTCCAGGAAAAAGATTGGTGCATAGATGCGAGATCCATAGGACTATGAAGTTTGGAATTGCAATAACTCAAGTTATGCAGGAATTGGCTGTTAGGATGACTCACATTTTAGCAACCTCTGCAGTGAAAGAGTTGATCAGCTGTGGCAAAAACATTATTGTGTAATATTTTTCCAGGTTGGCACAAAGTATCAGACGATACACTTCAATACTACTTTCCCAATGTCTTTCTTGGAGCCTTTACTTCGTATGTCACTGGCTGCAGATCCTGATATGCGTTTGCTTGTACAGAAAATCCTACATACGTTGATTGATCGACACCATAACTTAGAGAAGTTACTTAAACCTACGTAAGTATGTGTATTAGAAGTCGGTAGCTTTGCATTGTTTGTACTGCAGTAATCAATATTATGGCCTACCTGACATTCAGTGAGGCAAATAGGAGATGGGGATGAGCCTCAGCATTAGCTCCCCATCATCTGACATTTGGAAAAGGCCATTAATATTATAGGCTTAAAATTCCAGTTGTGCCAACCATGTGAAGACAGATATTCCATTTCTGTTTCTTCACATTGGGCTGTAATGTTACATTTTGTCTATGACGCTAGTGAAAGCTTTTCATAATTTTCTAATTTAGGCAAGTTCTAAATTTTGCTTTGAAAATGTCATTTTTAAGAGCATAATTAACCTGCTTGCTAAACATAAGTGTCCCTTGGTTGCAATAGCTCTCTGGTTACAATAGTCAAAAAAATATGTGGTAGGTTGTAAGTGAAACTGCTAAACTGTAGGCTTTTTGAGTGTTCTATTTTGTATGTAAGGGATAATCCTCTGCAGTAAAGTGTAAGGTCTTCATGTATGAGCAAATGCACCATCTGAGGTTGATGATGAGATTATAGAAACCTGTTTATAAACATGATTTCATATTGACTATGTCATTAATGCCGTTGGGTGGCCTGCATTGTCCCACTTTACACTGCAGCACTGTAGCCATAAGAGCAGTGATTATTCATAAAAGTCTGATAAGCAAAGCCATAGAAAGATGAATCTTCACTAGGTGAATTGTTACCAGTTGTTCATTTTGCTATTGTATATTATGAGTTCTGTTGATCACACTATTGAAACAATCAGTTAATTAATGCATGTGAAAGAATCTGTTACAGCACTGTTAATATTTATAAATTATTAAGTTTCATATGTTATTGTTTTTCAGTTAAAATATTTACCATGTTGTTGGAAGTTATACCCACACATATTGGCGCTTTTTATTAAATTACTGCATTATAAACATCTTTTGTTATTTTATGTTTGTACAAATAATAAGTATATCATTATGTCTTCATATACAGGAAGTACATGATTTATAATGTAGACACAAGGAAATTTTGTGTTTACTTCAGTGTAAGCAATAACAGCGCAGAAGCAATGTTAAACAACAAATGTTTTAGACTCAGAATACGTAAATAGTTTTGTTACATATTGATTCTTTATTTGTAGTGTAAATATTGGTGATCTGGAACTTGTACTGGAAAAGAGTTCCCGCCCAGACATAATTTTTATCCGGAAGCATGGTCCAGAGATTTATCGTAGTCTGTATGAGAGCCTGGAGCAAGCAAACAATACAGTGGAGAATATCGAGGCAGTGTACACGACACTGGCATTGCTGTGTGTTGAGTTGTCTTCTGAAGAAACAGTTATGGAAATGCTGCGCCTTGTTGTCAGCATTCAGGTGCAGTACCTCTTCTGATTTGTACTGAACATGTTTATTTTATATGCTTTTATCACAGGCAAAAGCATTTCAGTAACAAAATTATCGTGACAGCATGTGTCCATGTTATGTTATTCTGTTTTCTGTCAAGGTGTTTTAGTTGCCAACTTTGTAATGCATAGAGGAACTTGTTACAATAGAGTTGTACATTTTCAGGATACTGCACTTACAAATGGATCACTTAGTGCTGCTCAGAAGTACAACCTGCATGCTGTGGTGGTGAGCCTGCTGGTACTGATACCCAATGTTGTACCTATTACTCCATTGATGGAGTATGCAGAGAAGGCAAGTTTTGTCTTTCTGAAAACCTGGATATACTTTCTTATTGCTGTAATGTGGAATGTTAATTAATCAGAGTGACATGAGTTAAATTAACAAGAATCAGTTTTCAGAACATGGTGCTTACTAAGCTCTTTAAATCATCTGACTGTAATATATTATAATTTTACGATATCTTACAATCTGGATTACTAAATTCTTGGACTTTGTCTATCTTCTTGTTTTGTAATAGAACTGTACATTTCAGAAGCTAGATCTACTTCCGTCCTCAGGTTAAAAACGTAGAGTTCTTTTAGAAAACCAGACACTGGACAAAGTGGAAGAATTTAGTAATCCCGATTGTAACATACCATCATTAAGACCCCTTAAAATATGCTTCACTAAGTCTTGTATGGGTCCATCCCCATGAGGTTTGGATGTAATAACTTGCTATAGTACATTTACCTATGTATATTTTACACCTTAGCAGTGGTTTAAACATTTGGCGGTAAACACACCTACATAAATTTGTTTCAGTTTGATAGTGAAATATAAATGTTGTTTATTTTTTATAGGATGTAACCGTTCAAAACATACTTGGTTCTTTTTTAGGTTATTCAATGACATTGCAACAACTGCATTTCTTTGTTTGTTTAATAATACATGATGACATGCCTTATTTTTGAAGAACGGTAAAGATGAAGAATTTTATCTTTTAGGTTTTGCAAGTACAGTAAATTGTGCTTGTGATTTGTTAGGTCTCTCTTTCAGCAGTTCCGAGGATCACGTTTCAAGTAATGAATTTTGAAATGTGGCAGGTGATTGAAGCTCGCCGAAATGCTGGAGCTAACCACTTGCTGCCAGAATTACTTGTTCACTATGACCCTGATGTGTGTCTGTCTCCATCACAACTGGGACCAGATGTGTTGGTAGATCAAGTGGCAGTTACAGAGAGCCTGAAAGGAGCAGGCTTTGATGTGTCGAGGCTTCAGCAGGTGACACCTTATGGGGCTGGTGGTCCACCAGGTGTGAATGTGGGCCATAGGCACTCGTGGGTTGAGACTGGGATGCGGACCAGCGTGGCAGATTTAAATTCCTTTCAAGTGGAAGTGGATAGTGTTTCATCCTCACCTGGAGTTCAGAAGGTGTGAATATGTAAACATTGTCTGCTTCTTAGTATTACTGTATCATAGCTGTACTAGTTATTTCTCATTGGACTTAATGCAGTATGTTTTTGAGATGAATCCTTTTACATTTTGTAAATGTATTGACAGCCTCTGTTTTACATTTTTCAGTACTGATTACATTTTAAAAACAAAGTATCAGCTTTTAAAACTGATTAAAAACATTTGGCAATAAGTGTACACGCAATTACATTTGTAACCCTTGAGTTTCATAACAATTTTTTTGACAAAGTAAATGACTGTCAACTGCTCAAGGAATGCAGTGTGTCATGGAATTAATGTCAGTCAGTCATGTGCTCTACTTTTAATATTTACACATAAAACTCATAGATAAATTTGTTTGTTTAGAAACACCCAGAGGAGGAACTAACATTTGAATCAATGAAGAAACTTCTGTCTGAACCACCAGAGAGTGCTAAAGAGGCAGAAGAAGAAAGAAGGTTGCAGTTGAGTGAGACTTTTCGTACAGCAGATTTCCATGATTTAGTCGATCGCACACATGCTAATGTGAGTCATATTACACTTATAACTTAAAGTTAGTATAGTCTGTTGTGCATTTAATTGGATTTCACATTCTGTTCTTGTTTTTGCAGAATTATCCAAAGTAACTCCCCATTGATGACTGACCCACCCCACCTATCATTTTCTTATATTGTTTGACACTAAATAACCACTGAATTTGGTACATCATTGTTAAATAATTGATTAATGATACTGTATATTATTTGATGCTGCATAATGTTCTGTAAAATAACTGGATAACTATCCTTAGTGGTATTTCAAATGTATGCAGAGTGGAAAGTGAAAGTTGTACTCTATACTTCATTGCACATACAATAGGTTGACATATGTGGGTTTATGTTTGGTCTCTTTGCATTACCTTCCAAATTCATTATTCTTCTCTCTTTCATAAATATTCAGATCTGGGAGCTTTTTGGGTGTTTGTTATTTATTATAATTTTTCTTGTTTTATTTTAGAATGATATACTCCAGAACAAGCTGAATGAGATTTTCAGTAAGCTGTCGACAGGTTTGTCGGATGGAATTCGTCCTCCGGCAACTCCCACGCCAGGAACAAAACAGGATAATGATCCCTTGCATTCTAACAATCCACCAACATATGAAGTTCTCTTTCCTGAACTCTTTGTGTACTGATTGCATCTTTTGTGTAGAATTATGATTTTGTCAACTCTGGTATAGTTCCTCTGAATGTAATTTTAATTGGCATTTTTTGATGTCATTGTATCCAATTATATCCACTGTTATTAATGGAAACACTTCCTTATTACACTGAATGGTAAACTCATTCTTTTTTTGCTGTTTGTTTTTACTAAAGCAACTGTTTCCTCTTAAATGGACATCAGAAAATAGACTGTAGTCTTTATCTTCAGTCTTAAGTGCATGGAATTTGTTCTTAATTGCATGTCCTAAAATGCATTGCTTAGGTCTTCGTACACTCGTGCATTACGTTACAATCTAAACCATCAGTCCAAGTGGTGGTGTAGTTTGAAGCACGCTTGCTGTCTTAGACCTAGCAAATGCTCGGGCAGTTTTTTTAGAATTATGTGCAGAGAACAGATGTTTGTGTTCATTTCTTATATCTGCCCAGAATTCTACTCATTACCATTGTAATCCGACGAATGTTGAGTGTCTGATGTGGGCTGACCACACATGGAATAAATGATTAGTGGTTGTCGGAACTGAGCAGACTTTGCACAGGGCAGATGGTGGTGACTCGGTTAAAATTTGATTGCATCAAGATTACTAGTTTAAAAAAAGGCTGTATCTTTTGTAACAATCCTTGTGCTATACAAGAGAGATTATTTTATTTGCATTTAATATTGAGGAGACAAGGTGATGAGAAATATGTGATCAAGGATATGAAAATGTAAGAGAAAATTAAAACTGCATAGACATGGATTCCTTCACTATGAGATTGGTAGGCAGAAGCTTGGAAGGTCAAAAAAGCATAACTGGATGCATTATAAGTATATGATGGAAGTTTTTTGTATTTTGGTTTTATTTAACTATTTCTAATATATGAGCAAATAATATATCCCTTATCACAATTGTAGCTTTAACGTCTCTCATGGTGGTGGAATAATAAACTGAGATGAAAAAAAATTGATGAGGGATAAATAAAGAATGTGATAATATATATGTGGTATGGATAGCATGGTAATGAATTATCGTTGTGTCTTTTTCATATGTGTGGGACTGTAGCTTGTTTGTAGGTAACCCATGACAAATATTTGAACAGTGCAAGCTGTTGAGATTTTTGGTTCTCAGAGTGGGAACATATTGTCAGTGTGTTAGTCTTCTGGGTTGTGATGCTGTGTACACTTTCTTTGAAATTGGTATTACTGAGATTGTATCAGACTGATATTGCTAGTGTGTGTTGTAGTTTTCAGTTATTCTGTATATTATGTACAGTTGTTATGTTTTAAAAACTTTTGAAAAAGGAACATGTAAGTTGTTATTTATTTAATTGCAGTTGATTTGTTAGTGCAGGGGTCAGCAACCTTTCCATTACTACAGGCCTCAGTGGCTATTTATATCTGCCAAGCGCCAGAGAAAATAATGTCATGGGAAGGAAGTTAAACTGTATTTCTTTAGAAGATGGCTGTCTTCTAGGTTATTGAGCCTCCCTGCTGCCTCTGTCATCAGGGCAATTCACCTTGATGATGGCGGCAGCAAGGAGGCTTAACCTAGAAGTCAACCATCTTCAGACTCACCACTGAGAAAACCTCAAATCTTACTGTATTTCTTTAAGTTTAACTGACATTTTCCTCATATTGCTGATGGAGAGCTTCTTTGAACATCATGGGAGTGGGAACCATTGTTCTGTGATAATTCTGTATGCTGCATTATGTCAGGGAAAGTGTTCTGTCATTCTTTATTGTTGCTGATCTGTGGTCAGGATTGTGGTTCATAGTGACCCACACATATATGAATTTTTTTCTCTCATACTGGACTGCAAAGTAGTTGCACTTCCTGTGGGGGATTGGTTGTGTAGGAAAAGAGAGTTGTTCCTGACACTAATAAAGCACCTGCACTGTTATGATATATGAGGTGTGTAGGTTTGGCTCCACTTTCTTGACGTCCGCACTAGATTGAGGTGAGTGAACAGCTTTACGCACCCTCATATGTTTTTTGTTCGTATACATGTTTGACCTTGATTGTGGCAATTTTTATGGAATTTGATTTGGGGGATAGGTGCCTGAGGTCAGTAAAATGTAATTAGGCTCCCTGTATTGGTCCATTATGACTTCTGCTTACAGTATCTCAATATACATAAGTATGCAGCATAAGATATGGATATTAATATCTGCAGTTTTGTTTGAAACAGCTGTCCATAGGGTGACTATATTAACAAAGAGCAGAGCTTTGTGACAGCTATATTTGCAATAATAGATTTGCATTGGCAATATGCAAATATCATTGTCAGGCATCTAAGTAACCCAAAGAACACATTTGCAAAATTATGCCATCCATAATTAGTGAACATTTTCTCACTCTCTTGTTTACGAAGTTGGCCACTAGCTGATCGACAAGCGGAAGTGCACAGATAACTAACAGTAGAGGTGACAGACGGAGGCAACGGTATTGACTATGCTGTGGCTGGAAATGAGCGCGAAAATGGTGCATGTGTTTGAGGTAGGTTTTTGCAGAAACGAAAAAAATTGAGCGAATTCAGTGCCGAGTGGAAGAAAGTATGGTTATTGTAGCAGTGATTAGATCGCCATCGAAGGAAGGAACTGTTTGACTTCTTGCAACGAAAAGCCAACCTTGCACGCGTAATACTGCAAATGCTGTCGTCCATAGTGAGAGGTTAAGGGTAAGTCATATTGTGTCTTTTTACAATTATGGAATTTTACCCATGATCTAATGTGCAGTTTAAATAACGACTGTGTTCTGTCTTTCGTAACTGTTTGTGACGATTTTTTGCATTATGTGCGTTTTAACGGAGCGAGCGATGTCTCAGACAGGAATGTAACAAATACTCGATAGCTGAATCGGTAACGCAACTGAGCGCCGTCCCCAAGGGGGCGCAGGTATCTTAACATTTTGTGAAGCTCGGCAACGTTTTAATCATTTCTGCTTCCTCGTTCCCCTTTTTCCTGTATTTGCAGCTGCCCCTGACTTTTAACTGTTATTGTGGTGTGCGTATTAATAATGAACAAGAATACAATTGGGCTTGTTGAGATTTCAGCTAACATGAATTATCTCAGACATGGAAATTTACGGAACTAACGTATGATTTTGCCACATTCAACGCTAGGGCGGTGCACAGACAGTAAGCCGGGTGCGTGATTTCTCTGTGCGATGCCGTGGGCGGCCGCCTTCCACAAGTCATATACATCTGGCGGTTAGCTAGTACATTAAGAGGTAGCCGGTTCGATTCTGAGCCGAAGTGCGTGTTATGCTAAAGGGATATTTGTGTTTATGGCAGATGATAATATTACCCTGCTGGCGTTAATTGCTTTCTTTATCCTGCATTTGTTTACAAAGAATGTTGCTGTTTCCATGCCCGAGTTGTGTTTTGACTTATGTCCGTGGCAAGTCTACCAGAGCCCTAGGTAGAGAACCATATCTATGGTTTGTGGTCATCCCTGAGCAACTATTTGACTGTTTATTTAGTAAATCGAAAAATTCCCTGGTGTAGAACCCTAATGTTAATTGCCGTGGAAAAATATCCGTTTACATTCTCACATCTTATTTGTTTAAGATTGATAAAAGTGTTTTTCATTTCATCAGGGCTGTGGAGTCAGTACTAAAATCTCCGACTCCGGCTTCGAATTCGACTCCGACCAAAACTCTTTCGTAAAAGCTCAATATGTATTAATAAGGGTAAACCTACTAAAATGGTAAATGGCACCATAAGAGATTTCATCACCACCACGTGAATCATCAGGCTACTTTTTAGACTTATAACCTATATTTAAGTATGAGTCTAATGGTTATTGCAGAAATCGGTTGATTTGTAGACAGATTGTATTCTTAAGGTACAGGAGCCAAAGTTATTCCCACACCATGTGACTCAACGCGTGACACGTCGGCGGCTCACACGGTATAGAAATTGTTCTTAAGATTTTATTTCGAGGTCGGAGTCGAGATATTTTTACCGACTCCGACTCCACCTAAAATTGCTTCCGACTCTGATTCCACGAATCCGACTCCAACAAAACAGCCCTGCATCCCATCAACATTCAGGTCTCCCAAATTTTCTCTTTCCGTGTAATATTTTGAAAGCATTTGTTTCTCAGCATCATGCACGTTACCTCGACTACAAACCCATGACACAAAGCCGTTTACGAAATGTGTGGAGGAACGCTGTGTGGGGTGACATATGAAGCGTCTCTCAGTACTCGTCATAATTACTTTATAGCAGTTATGAGGGGGGGGAGCATGTCATTGTCTCTTCATAATAAGCAGTCTGTGGAGAACACCAAATTACTCATTACTGAAGGGTTCAAACAGGTGGTGCCCTAGATATTACCACGACGTACTTCATAAATATCTCAGTGTTTGTAGAAGACGCCGAAACTCCTACTGAGCCCTGTTTACAGACTGATGAGATTGATGTTCACGTTTCGGGCTGAAGTTTGAGAAGCACCGAATACGAGCATAAAACCAGTGCTGAAGTAACAGAACGACTAAATTCGTTTCCTTTTGAAATATTTGTAGTGCCAGAAAACCTGTTTGATTATATTTGCAAGAAGCCAGTTTTACTGAAAAGGGATTGTTGCCCCGTGTCCAACACCCAAACTGGAGAATCACCCATTGTCATCTCTTTCTTCTTTCTATAAAAATTCGTGATTTGTCGTCTATCAAAAAATGACGTCATCAAACAATGTTATGTTATATTTGTTTACTCGGCATTGTTGTACCAACACAACAATGCCGATTAAACAAATGACTTGAGTAAGACACTAAACTAACCAACCCGAAGGGCGGTTGGTCAAGTGTTTTAACCCTCCATTCGGGGGGGTTGGTTTAGTTTCTTACTCAATATTTTAAAAACTTGACCAACCCCCCGAGGGGCTCCGAAAGGAGCGCTCTGCTCTAGTATGAATATAAACCTCGTGGCAAGACCTAGGTAAATGATGACTGTGTTCTGGGTTGTTGCACAAGTATTCTGACAGCACAGAGGCTCTTGCTGCCTCCGCTATCAGGGTGATCGGTTAGGTTGATTTTGAATGGGGAGGAAGAGGCCTTGGCTAGGTTTAAGGATATATGAATACAATAAAGCACTATATAAGTCGTATTGTAAATAATAAGCGGAATGAATTTGACGTGTCTAGTGTGTCGCGTAGCGTTGTGTAACTTTTAAGTGATCGTGGCAACCCGAGTAAGAGGGGATGTCCCGCCTCTTCAGTAATCAATACAGATAATGTCACGGTATGTATCACTGATGCAGTTAAATGGATACGAAGTCGGAAGCTGTTTGTGTTCTCTGAGTGAATCCATCATCTGTGCAAACTCCCAAATGACTTGAGATTTCAGATTCTCACGGCGGATAGTGTGAAGATGATCTCGTCTTCAGAGTTATTACGCCTTGTAGTCTCGCAGAAGTTGACCGACTGTACGGCGAAATATCCCAGAAGCCAGTAATTTCCCTAATGATGGGCAGAGAGTGTATAAGGCAGATCAGTCATCTCATCATGTTACGTCTAAGTTGCTAATAGTATTACTCAACTCTTTCCTCGTTATTTTGACGAAATTGCGTTCTGAAATCTGTTGTGCTAATTGAAGCTAATACTTCAACTTAAGCGAGAGATATAAAGGAGGAAGATGGTGGGGGGGGGGGAAATCGAAGGAAGGAAAGAAGTGGGGGAATGTATAAACTGAGGAGAAAGGGGGAAGGCGAGAAGCTTGTTAACTTTTTCTGTGTTAAAACTTGCATTAATTCTTTTGGTGAAGTGAAAAGTACGTTAATTCTTTGTAAGTATTCTAAATATTCTTTTGTGAATAAGTAATTAATATACTGTATGGTATAATCTATTTTAATCATACGAATTACGGTTTAAATCTGGAATGAATATCGTGTACTCGTATGTGTTGAATGACATCAACATTTTACAGTAAAAATTAATACTCAATTATATACATTACAGTATTTAAGTAGGCATTTATGTATTTGATTCAGAGTAAATATGCTAAGATTACTTGCAAACAGATCTTGATTTGCGTGTTGTAGGCTATATTGTATTTTTCATGGCAACATGTTCTCCGATTATGAGGGCGTTTGATAAGCGAATAAGCATATAGCGTTGCGATGCAGTCTTTGCTGTGTAATACAGGCCCTACTCTACTTCTTTGATGTAAAATAATCATTTCTCGTGGCAGAATAAACTTAAAATTGTGCCTTCTGCGGTTATGCTGGGTAAAATTATGTGAAATTCGAGTTGTAATTGGATCAAGACGAGGTTATCAGAAAAGCAAAACGTTAATCTTCCGTTAATGACTGTGAACACGAACAGAGAAGGTGGTTAAATAGAACCAGTTAAGTAAACTTCACTCACTCAAACGTTGAACCAATAAAGATATACCAGCGTCTAGGGGCAAACAAATTGATCGATAATGGCTTTTCCTGGGGTCTCCGGTACCGCTCATCCCTTACAGTTTTCCTCAACCCTCTTTCGCCCCCGTGATCCCACCGCCTGCTCCATGTAAACCCCCATCCCATTACAGCTACCTGTTGGCAATGGGAGGCTGTGTGAGCCACGTATGCGTTTGCGCGTCTTTCATTGCTGCCAACTCTACTGTCTTTACCCCAGACCTATGATGGGACCTCTGGTTAATATTTCAAAACCCACCTGTTTCAACGTTCAGAATGTTTGAATTTTGCCCACAGAGGGCATTTATGGGTCATTTTCAGAATAAAACAATTTTTTTTCTTGTTTTCGCTCAATAAATTAATGTAGGATAACAGACCAGAACCTTTTATATCTCATTCAATTCCAAAAACTCCTAATTTTCTTGGAAATTTTCGTGTATATATTTAAACAGGATTGTAGCTAGAATCTGTTCTTAAAGTATATTTTGCACAAATGGATTCTGTCCAGATTCTTGCCACCGTGTCTTAAAACGAAGGCAGAACCTTTATTTGTAAGTATGTATATAACTAACTAACTAACTAACTAACTAACTAACGGACTGACTAAGTAAAGATTCGACCACTTAATCCGTATCTAACTAGTACCAAAGGCCACATTTGGTCGCGATACTGAACTAGGTCATTACATTTCACATCCTCACAATCTGTCCAGAATCCGTTTTGGTCCTTTCGTCTCCTTTTTCAAGTGGCAACCTTCAACGACACTTCGCTACCAAAATTCTGCAGGTTTTTCTTGCTTCACCTATTCGAGCTGCATGTTAACGAACTTCATGCAGGAAGATTTTTGCTGAGAAGCTAACAGTAACTCAATCAGTCAGGAAATTTCACTCTTTTATGAATTTATAAGGTTTATTACTGTGTTCACCACAAGCCACGTATGAAGTTCAACGTTATCCCATTATTTAAATAACTCAAGAATGCAATAATAGGTTAGTAGTTTGTCACATTGAATTTTATTTTTGATTTGTAAGAATGTTAAAATCATTTATTTATCTTACAGCGAAGTATGAACACGAACGAAGTATACGACTGATGTGTTATAATTCATAATAGTAATGGACGAAAGGGGTGAATATGTGATAAAACTGGATTGAAGTTTGAATGAAACAAGCGAAACAGATGAAAAGTGGTTGATGTATGAAAGAGTGGTGACGATTAAGCAACACTCAATTACCTCGTTGGGTTACGGATTATTGGCAAACCTTCAGGTACAGTCCTCCACGAAATGTGATGCACTCGGGAAGAATTTGAGGCAGTGATGTCCAACGTAACAGAATTTCATTGGAGCCTAGAGGATTTATTCTAAAAAGTAACGGAGGCATAATTTTGTCCGTGAATCCTGTCCAGCAAATTCCTTAAGATTTGACATGACGGAAGAAGAGAGTTAGGTCACATTTCAGTTTTTGACAGTTTTTGTAGTCTGGTAGAAGATTATCGACGTTTCATAGGTGCTTCCATCATTGCTCTGATAGGATAGAGAATGAATCTCTTTGTTTTATATTAGTGTGAATTGGAAATTTATCGAGTAAATGTTTACCTGTATGAAATCTAATAGACATCTCATGCATGTTTCAGTTAACTTCCCACGTTCCTTCGATATTCAGGATTTAATTACAACGTTGTAGGAAAGAAAAACACTTTTTTCTAAGCTGAAACGTAGTTTCTATAACAACAAGTAGCTGTTGGCGCTGATTCATTATATTTTCATATTTCCCTAATATGCATATTATGTAATGAGAAATATTTTATTTATAGTGCATCTGTTAGAAATAAATTCGTCAGTGTTGTCCACGAATAATGTTGGATATGCCAGAAACAGGATATAAGTTTGTGTTAATTTGGTACAATAGAGCAGCTTGGAAAATTACTGCTTTTTATTTTGTTCCCCTTGTTAAAAATACGTACATTTAAAACAAAACAATAACAACAAATCAATAGCAGGCAGACGTTGTGGTAGAAATACTCATTATCGGTGCAGTAATTATTGGAGCTGTGTTTTAATTTAGACCCGATGGTTGAACCATTGTAAATTTGAAAATGGTGGCTTGTAGAAGGTTTATACAAATTAACCTGGGTGGCAACGACCCGTGGTGGAGGTCTGGTATTTGTTACCTCATGTTCATAAAGTTAGGCTTTTCCAGGAACTACGAAAATAAACGCACTGAATGTGATATGTATCAAATCAGGTGGAAGAGATAATAACGGACTAATAAGTACGATATGATAGCGTATGTATACCGTGGAGGTAAAGCTGGAAATATATCATAGAATAATTGACCACAAACTGAAAGGGAGATAAGAATTTAATTAGGGAATAGAAGGTATATTTTGTGTAATTATGCATGGCTTAATGCAGCCTGTGTTTACGTTAGAGTCACAGAAAGATTAAGAAGTCTGTTAGCCACGTAAATGTAAACAGATACTACTTGCAAGTTTTGCGAAGAGAACATTTACTCTGAACTCAGAAGTAATGGTCCAGTCTTATCCGGTCACATGAAAAATCAAATTGCCTGTTGCGCTATTCCGTATTCAGCTGACCGAGTTCCTCTCATTTATATACATTTTAATTGAGAAGGTTATTGCTTTTCTCGCTTTGATGATGAAGGGTTCTGACCCGTTACTGCAGGACTATTTTTCGACTAGCCAAAGGATGTGGGACCCGAAATTGCGCACAGGTTGGTAGCTCGGCTACCTAGCGAAGCAGTGAGCGCGGCCGATCAGAAATGTGACACGCTAGCTAGTGCGCGGCCTAGTGGCGTCGCGTCGAGACGCTGCTGTCGGAGACGCTCGTTGTCCGTGGAAACGACGCGAAAATGTGATCGCTTTGTGCTTCCTCTTGTGAATCAGCAAGCTGTCTAAATTAACAGAAGCGTCGTCCATTAACACTCGAAACCGGACACTGAAGCAACGTATTTTCATCTATTTAATCTGCGCCGGCGTAGATTTCTATCAGTATTAAGATTTCAAATTTGCACTATGTTTTAAGCCGAACTCGAAATTTACCTCGACATTTTTATAAAATATCTTACTTAAACATGGCAGTCAATAGTCCTGGTACATATCCTGTAAGCCCTAAAAGTCCAGTACCTAACAGTCCAGCTGCGTCAAAAAGCTCAAGTTATTTTAACTTTGCTCCGCCAAAGAGCCCTGGAGGACCAAAAAGTCCGAATCACCATTGTCCTAAAAGCCCCGGAGGCTTTAAAAGTTCCACTCATTTCAATTTTGGCCCTAAGAGCCCTGGTGCCCCTAAAAGCCCTACTAATGTTAACTGCGGTCCGAAAAGTCCCGGTGGTCCGAAGAGCCCTGTTAATTTCAACGTAGGGCCCAAAAGTCCTGGAGGTCTTAATAGTCCAAGACAACAAGTTGCATTTGGCCCCAAAAGTCCTGGTAGTTCAAAGAGTTCCGGTCATTTCACTTTCGGACCTAAGAGTCCCGTTGGGCCCAGAAGCCCAAGCGCAGCTCCTAGGAGTCCAAACGGTTACCACAGATCGTCTTCAATTGGGTCACGGAGCCCAAGTTGTAGGGCTGAGGGAAGTAGCGGTTCATTCTCGTCGAATTCAAACATTTCGAGCACTGGCACTCTTCAGAACTCTGTCGTGGGCAGTGCTCACGATGTAAGTTCAACCGATACCGCTTCCACATCGTCATCCTCTTGGACCAGATGTCGGAGATCTACTTCAGATTTGACAGATCTCATGGAGGAAGAATGCTCCACTACTGCAACCTCTTTGTCCCGACCGTGTTCGCCGCGGAGTAGGGCGGGTAGTATCAAGGGAGGCGGAGGACTGGCGTATCTCGCGTCGCGCCGTGGCAGCAGAGATTCGCAGGTGTCCCAAGCATCCGCCGAAGACGTTGGTCCACTTAACTTCAGTAGTAATCCTCGGGGACGCCAGAGGAGGAAATCAAACTTCCTCGAACTACCAGGTAACTTCTTCATGCACATAATTTTGCTGGGCCTTCTTTGTTCCCTTGAACCCACTGTGTAAGAAGTAATGTTTTTTTATCTGAAGCTTTCACGGCGACCAAGTGTAACAAATTCTTCTCGGGCTACCGGCCGTGTAAAGTGGTTTAATGGAGAAAACACCGACGTTTCGTAGACCACCTTACACGGCTGGTGGTCCGAGAAGATTTCATTATAATGTTTTTATTGATTATGAAGTATTAGCGTTGTATTGGAGGTTAACTCCCCGTTTTATTATAATCTTTACAACTTTTTGATATGTCTTGTGTTCTGCGCTGTTTTTCTTTACATGTTTGTTATGTATAGGATGCGTCACATTTGTCCAGTGTACATAAGGTACATACCATTTCCTTTAACTCTTTATAACATAGTGGTAACTATATATACCACCTACTTTAACATTCAGCAGTTTTGCATTTTGTTTATCCACTTTTTCATAGTTCCCGAACACGTTTGTTCATTGTGTTAATTGAAATGAAAGTGGGAATTTTGCTTAATACGAAGAGTTTTACACCAATTCTCACTCAAAATTAATCCTGAAACATAAATTTCGTAGACAAGTAGATAGGAGCGATAACTCGGCACTGTGTTCGCATGACCAAGTCTTACTAGCTAAATTACAAATTATGATACAGCAACAAAACAGCAAAGCAAATATGAACAAAAATGTGTTGATGGCCTGTTTGTGTACAACATTTCACACGCCCAGCTCCATTGTTTTATTAGTTATCAAATCAGAAGTGTAAATATAGATTTCGCTCGGCAGCCATGTTATTTTACGTTCGAAAGGAAGTTAACTCAAGAAAAGGTCTACAGTAGGTGTCACTCAAAACACAGAATTAAAATAACAGTAAATTCAAAGTACAAATGTGGGGTTACCTCTACTGGCGTGATGTGCACACTAAGTTTTATGCAAATGCGGCCCTTGGTTCAATATGTAGGGGAGGGACAGACACGCAGATATGATATCGCAAGCCTTTATTTTCTTATAAATATGTAAAGTAAGTTACAAAGGAGTCTTGCTGCGAAGGATATGCAGATTCAGGTAGGTGTGGGTGATATTGCCAACACACAGAAAGTGACGTGGGTGGAGAAATGTAGAAATTGTGTGGGTGTTTACGTAGCATTGCTTTATTTTGACAAATGAAATGAAGATTAGTAACTGGGGCCCACCATTGCGTTACGGATTCGATTGAGCGCCAGAAACCCACGGATTGTAAAAGTTTCTTTCCAGTTATTCCGTTTTATCTGACATCAGATTTGTCGACTGATTAATATTAAAACTTCAGTTACATATCAGAGTTAATTACTTTTAATGTTGCCAGTTCTCATACACATTTCACAATCTGAAAACGGAATTGATGGGTCAGGACATGTATGTTTCTCCTCGCATTATACATAACGCACGGCCGTTTTGAATCCCGCACTGTACCAACGTGAAAATGTCTGATTACGTTAGTAGTTTACGCGCGTAGTTAATTTGTCACTATCTTGGATAAGTTGGACACGAAGGAAAATAAACAGAATCTAGGGGGACGACCCATTGCAGACAACGGGGTAAAACGTGCCAATGTTGGTCCCATATAAGTTAGGCAGCAAGTTAGTCCTTATTCGAAGCAGTAAAAGTCTAATATTTACATAATTTTGAATGAATAAGTATGACAGATACACAAATCTGTCAACGAAAATAATTGAGTAATATGTGAAATTGTTTACCTAGTATTTATAACTTGATTCCACGAAATTTCAGTAAATTATAAAAGAATGTTTGAGTGCGGTTCTAAATCCTGAAGGGTTTAAAGTACCACATATAGTCGATAGAGCAAAGTTTAAAGGATTACTGTAACAAACAGTGATTTAACTCATGCGCGGTTAGGCAGTAACACAGATCTTGTAAGCATTGCTTTACAAATTAAAGGAAAGTGATGTGGACATCTATAAAGTAATTCAAATTCCGCTACAAACACCAACCTCACACGTGAAATTTAATGTTTGGAAGTAAGAAGCTTAACGTAAGAGAACAATAATTGTTCAGTTACACAGTTATTTACAATACAAGGAAACCCCATAGCCAATACAGATTTCCTAGTATTGTTAAGCTAAGATTCCACGGTGGACTGGCCATGTAGCTAGAACGAGAAGACACTTGAATAGATAGAGACTTTTGTTGGAGAACGTCCACGTCCAAGATTAAATTATATGGAATGGCAACATTAAGATCGATCTTAGGTGCACAGCTTTTGGAGATGATATATATACATGACGCTGGCTCAGAACCGTATGCAATAGCGGACTTAGGTGTTATCAGTGTTAATCTTCTGGTTCTGCTACCACAATGTTAGTTGAATCGTTAAATAGCGAAGTCTGTGAGTTGAGAGCTATGCGAATGTGTGACGGTAGGATTGCCATTTCGAAGCTCGCTATTCATGCACCCTGTGAATTAGTCCCACATGAAGGTGCATTGAAGAGATTGATCCTAGTCCGTGGAGGGAAGATGAAGAAAATAATCTTCAGAGACGCTGTAGGACTTCTTGAATGGAGGATCAGCCAATGGAAAGGGCTTTTCCATTGAGGATAACACGAAGATAAAGCCTTGGGGCAGATGCTCGTTTTGAGGTTGCCTGATCCCACACACACACTTTAATGCGCGCGACCGTCAAGATCAGCGGAAATTGAGTTAAATATGCATTTAGTTATAAAGAAAAGCCCACAATCGAGTGGTTAGTACTCTTGTTTCATATACAAGAGGTCACGGGTTAAAAATTTGGCCTGGAGATCTGTTTATTTACACTGAAGTTTTCTTGGTTTTACTCTTTTACTTAAGACTGATACCGATATAGCAGATTCACCTTGAATTATACCACGATATCCTCTCCCCCCACTTCCTTCCAAACGCGACATTCACCTTTTGAATGTAAGCGTACTCAAAAGAGTACACTTTTACAGTCTTATTCCTGCTCGGCACTTCTAAACGGGCGTCAGATTTGTATTGTTCCTGTGGGATGTAGTTTGGGGTTTCGACAATCTTCCATTCAATGGGTGTGTTAAAACTGTATCAAAATTTTGATCACGGTTAAATTGTGCTAGGTTTGTGGAAGCTGTAAGAACTGTGAATTATTTTAGTGTGTGTAAATTGAAGGAAGTGGTATATTCCTATGAGTTTGTTTTAAGAAGACAGTAATTCATTTTGGATCGCGTCAGTGAAGTCGCTTGACAGCATCAAACCGCTATTGCACCCGAGTTACGTAAAACTCAGTGGTCCAAGTCTGCTAAATGTATTTAGCGTTCATGGTATGACCTAACGGGATTGAACATGGTTAATTTTCGTCTTCAGTATACACTGGTGAGTTGACAAGAGAAAGCTCTGAGAAATATGTAGGTAAATGTTACGAATATTTGTTTTATCGATATGAATTTTAATATGGCTACAGTTTCAACTGTCGTTTACTCGCCACTGGCATGTTTATTAAGGCTGTTGGCGAGCATAAAATATTTGTTTGAAGTATATTGCCGGGTAATGGACGAGTGGATTTTGTGACATGGTTGTTAGTTAAGTGACGTTGGGTGGACTGTATGGGGCATAGGTATTGCACATCTCCCGATAGTTATTTGGTCGTTTAAGAAATATCCGAATGTAAATTACTTCTCTGAAGTAATGTGAGGGAGGACAGTTTTGTCAGTGAATTTACAGGCTGTGTGCTGGACGTCTGGCCTTCGATGTCTAGCGTGGACAGTGATTTTTCTTTCCGCCACAAAATCCAGACCAGTTGTGACGCTGTACCAGCCTTATATCTAGTGGGTAGAGGGAGTTTGTGTGTGTGTGGGGGGTTACCTGAGTCTGGTAGCTGAATCATAAGTTAGTGCCCATAAAATTCTATAGCTCCTACATGCTATTTGATGTTTAGTGATGTTGCTATGTTGTTTGCCATCGATTCATCGAACAATAGTTCAGATCCATGCTTCAAATTTTAAACTTAAGAAATTTATTCTTGGCTCTGTCAGATACTTCTTACAAGACATATTGGGAATCCAGCAATGGTTCCGTCGCTTAAAGCCTCGTGTATTAAAACTGCACTACATATAGACGAACTTATCGTTAAAGGATGACGACCTTTGAAACAAACCCTGTCCCTTGCATCCGTCGGGTATTTCATCTCTTTTTATTACATCAACCTATGTAACCAACTCTGTGGAGTTCTAACTTAAATTTATATTTGAACGGTTTGTTTTAGTGTAATGAAGTAGCCATCATTTGCAATTTTATGACGAACAATTGCTTTCTCTTAACCGCATTACTCAAAGTTGCACTATTTAAACGTAATTCTATTAAAATGCAAGAACGTAATTCAGAAAATAGATGAGATTTCTTGATGTTTTTTCCATCTTATTCTTTAGAAAATAAACATAAATTAAATTGCGTTTTCATTTTTTTTATGAAGAATGACGTTTGTAAAGTCTAGAAAGCTGCCCGCATGCTAATTTTGTCACTCAAAAGTTTCTCTCTCTTATTTTGTTGCTTTTGTATCCTTAACCGTTCTTTTCGCTTGACAAAAGAGTCGCTTGCAGTAATGAAAACAGATTGCAGTAGCTGTCGGGTTATAAAATAAATATTAGCCATTTTAAGTTGTTTCTTTGCCCCTTAAAATTCATGAACAATGAAACCCTTTGCACGTGAATTATTACAGCCAACTTAAGAAAACAATTCATGATTTCCTGAAGATTTTTCTTATAGTGCAGTACAAGCTGTAGGTTTTGTTGCTTGTTTTCTGGTCAAAACGTTGAAGCCTGCTTATTAATCATTTAAAATCAAAGCTCGCCTAACAACCTTGCAGTTGAAATTTTAGGTTCATGTGTTCGTTCGCTTCGAGCTCAATAACGGATATACCAATTGACACCAAACTTGACATGCTCATGTCATGAAACCAGGAAGAGATCATACGAGGTTTAAAACTGAAAAAGAGTCCTGAGTTCGATTCCGACTGAGGACATTTCCCGTGGATCGGAAACTAAGCACGACAGAAGAATGGCGCCTAGACCAAAGTAGTCTGTTTCGAAGACGAGATTATAGAAACAGACGAGTCCTAACGAAATTTTATGAAGCTCTAAAACTGAACCCAAGAGAAAAGCGGTGCCAAGGCAAAATTTGTTCATTTCGGAGAGGAGATTACGGAAACTAAGGTCAGAAGCCCTGTAACTCTCTGGGGTTCCATTCTCGGTAAGGAATTTGGGTTCAGGGGATAGATTATTCCATAATACTCAACAACACGTGACCGTCGTAAAGACACACATGACATGTAAGAACCCATTAGCCCGTCGGTAGGCGTTGTGATTCCGTTATATGATGTCATATTTTGCACAAATGAGCCTATGAATGCCACAAGACTCTACGCTGACAAGACGCTGGAAAATAGACGCCAAGCGTCGTGAC